CCAAATGCTGAGACATTCAAACTGACCAATCAACATGTGACCACATCATAAAACCCCCAAAGTCCACACAACAGGCCCTGATCTCATCAGTATCTGCCTTTGGAGTCAGTATGGAACTTTTTTTGATGAAAGACATGTTTTTTCATATAAACAAATGCATTTGATAATTTAGCCTCTTACACATATCTTAAACCCAATCACTGCCATTCCTTCTATCATTTCCATTTCTTAACATATTTCTGGTTATAAAATAAATGTTCAGAACTGAGAGTGTTACCCTGTTAATCATTTAGCTCTGAGGTTTTATTTAGGCTGTTTAAACCTGGTTTAAATATCATGTGATATTGTATGACGTGATTACTTACTGTATGACTAAAGATCCAAAACCAACATTGTTGTCCTATCTCGTATTGTTTTCATTTGTAAATGATTTCTTAATGTGTTTTTAAAAACACAATGCAAATAATTCCTAAAAGACATTGTTAAAATTTGAACAACGAACTGAAGTCAAAACATAAATGTTTAATAAGGTGGTCACATTAAACACTGATAAAAACTTTATCATTTTACTACAAACTTAGGCCTTTTTTCTCAAAAAGTGGACTTTTTGCAGTTATACAGCTTATTTTATATTTAATTATGAGATTTAAGTACTGCATTTAAGGCACTATTATAAATTAGCTTGTCGGATGATCATCATAACCACACTATTTTATGATGGCGGCAGCAAAAAAAAAAAGTGGACAAAAGGAGCTTTTTTTTAACGAAAAGTGTCAGTCAAAACTCAAGTTTACAACGGAATGAGTCCATCATGATAATAGTGTAATTGCTCTTGTTTTTCCCCACTTTAACGCACAGTCTAACGTTATAGCAGACTAATAAAATCTGTTAATAATTTGCCCAGAAAACTAACTGCAACAGAATGTAACAATATGTGATCCCTACCCGTTCTCCTGATCTCTCAGAGCATGTTCAGTTTTGGTCGAAAAATAAAAGTCTAAAGAAACTACAGCCTGTGCTCCACCTTTTAATAAAACTTATATATGAGACATGTTTCATTTGCACTATGGCTAAAATAAACAGAAGTCTTTATTAAACTCTCTTTTTATTAGTTATTACACATTATTTTTAACATTAAGGGTAGTTATTTTTTTCTGAAAAACTGAACCTTTTTGTAGTTATTAGCCTCATTTCCTTTTTAATTATGACCTATAAATATTGCATTGTAGTTACAGAACTATTTTTGCAGGTTTATCTTGTCGGATGGTGATTATAACGTTTTAATGCACCAAAAAATATATCATTTTGTCAAATTGCTCATCACACTATTTTAAATGTTTATTTACAAATGTGCATTTAAACAGTCAGTTTAATAATACAGTTTTATAAATAAAGTAATATGGAAAAAAATATATATATAGTATTTTTTAAGTATATATCACACTATATTTTTAAATACATTTTTTTATTTTTAGAAATCTGGTATTAAATTAATTAATTACATTCAACTTTCCTCAGTAAAAAAATTGGCCACTTCAATAAAAAGAGCAGTAGAATAATAATAGCTTTGTTTGTTGAGATATTTCACGCTGAAGACCAGGAAAAGGACTTAATTATTTGCCATAAAAGTGATATTACAGAACATACATACAGGAGGCTGATATATATATATATATATATATATATATATATATATATATATATATATATATATATATATATATATATATATATATATATATATTTATACAACAGTTCTGTCTGGTTCTCAAATCTCATTGGCTGAAAGCCTTGCAATATTCTGAAATATCAGAACTCCTACAGCCTCTTTACAGTTTGTGTATTACTCCGCACTTATACTGTCATGATAACCAGCGATCGTTCTCCAGAGATCGCTAGTTCTCACACAAATATCATGGACTACACTTCCGCCTTTTCCTGGACTACATATTCAGACATGCACTTTGCCCAGACACCCATGCTCACTTATCTAGACTGATTACACTCGCAACACCTGAGGATTGTCAGAGACTGATTGCACACCCTACTTAAGCCACACATTCACACTTTCAGTTTGCAGAGTCTTGTTTATCTTGTCATGACATTACAACGCGTTTACTCTGTCTTGTTTTCCCGTGTTTCGATCCAGCCTTGTTTTTCCTTGTTCTCCTGTTTAGCCGCCTGCCTTACGACCTATTGCCTGTTTATACAATTACGATTTTGGACTGCCTGTACATACCCGTTTGCACCTATGTTGACCATTGCTTGCCTGACTACGAAAAAACCTGCATATTGGATCTTACCTTCTGTTACGTCCCTGATGGTAAGTGTCTAGGAGTGGGAGTAACAGTGAAAAGTTTTAAAAATGTTGGTTGGGGTGAGTGTGGGTCAGTCCCCTGCCTTCACGACAACACACCAAATTCAAGTTAAATAATTTATTAACAAAATGTAAAATAGTAAAACAAAACTAGGAAGCAAAAATAGACTTCAGGAGGGGGAAAGGCCAAAACAACAAACAAAAGTACACTCTAGCTAGTTAGGGAGTAAAACTGTCTAAACTGACAAAGTAAAAGTAAATCAACAACAGAAATGTACACAAACTCCCTAACTAAACATAAACAAGAGAAAAAGGGTTTTAGAAATAAAATGGCACCCACCTCCCTACGGCTTCCAAACACAAAGTTAGTTTTCAAACACAGAGCTCAAATGGCTTTAACTAGTGATGTTTCGTTGTGCGCCGAGGCTTCGAAGCATGTATCAAAAAAACGATACATCTCGCAGAGAAGCAGTGTACCGGAGCTTGATTCGTTTTGCCATCATCACATGATCAGTGACGTCCAAAGCTTCATTTTCGCCTTTACCCACGTGACTGCTTCGAATTTTGATTCAAAGGTTTAAACACCCTCATAGTAAAGTGTATAGCGAGAGACTTGGCGTCTATTACATTTGTTTCAAAGCACTGCACCAGTCCCATACACCAGTAATACAACTAAACTAAACTACAATAGTATTTTTTAGTAAAAAGGTTTTTAACAATACTAAAGTGTACTAGCGTATTTTTTTATGACTATCTTTAAAGAAAATCAACGCATATCGTAGTATTGTGTTTAACAGAGACCATCTGGTGAATGCAACCCTGAAACATCGTTCACATAGCCTCCTCCTAGAGCACTTGCCTCCCAATCAGGAATTGCTGGATCGATCCCTGCTTGGAGCGGGATTAGTTGTATTATGATAAACTTTTGAATACCTTGGATTTTACTACAATCATCAGTTGTGTAATGTAATATATCTTGTGTAAAAACTACAGTAATTGAGTAATTTGTTTATATTGCTGTTGTTGTATTACTACATGAATAAGTTGGTCAGTTGTGAACATTTGACATTATGGCAACACAGTGCTTTCCCACACTTTCACCAGAAGAGGTCCTCATCAAGCTCTGATTTAGAAAGCTTCGAGTAACGAACCTTTTTCCGATACAATTGAGTCGAGCGCTTCACTGGTTCAGAAAGCTTCATTTCACCATCACTAGCTTTAACAACAAATTGTAACTTCAACAAGTTAAACACAACAGCACCAATAGTTTTTCTCAATAGGTCAACCAGGCAGGAGAGAGACCACACTCTGGAAGCAAGCTTCAATGTGGCTTGCAACTGGCAGGCTTTTAAGCTTGCCGGGCAACGAGTAGCAGGTGCAATCAATCAACTTCCTCTCCTCCACACCTAGCTGAGAAACAGGTTGCAGGAACGGAGAGAGAGAGAGAGAGAGAGAGAGAGAGAGAGAGAGAGAGAGAGAAACCAAACACAATAATACATTCAAAACACCATGGAATGTAACACCTTCAGTTGTATGTGTCATTATATATATTTTAGTTCTGTCAAAATTTGTGCGTTAATGCATGCGATTAATATGAAATAATTAACGCGTTAAAAAAATTTACGCAGTTGCAGGGTTTTTTTAACTTCCTGTTGTGGTCAACGTGTTCAATAATCTGGCCTGCCACCCTGCCGTCGATTACCTAACCTCGACATGCCATAGACTGCTTGCAGCTTGATGGACACCTCAAACCACAAATCAGGCTATCGCGACTAGCATAAGGTCCAATCATTTCAGAGACGTACTGCCTGATTAGCTATTTGCATAGAACGCTCAGGTTACGGAAGTAACCCTCGTTCCCAGAGGAGGGAAACGGAAATGCTATTAGTGGATTTAATTTAGAAATCCACGAATGGGAGGATTCGGTTCAGAAGCCGCTTGTCTGAAAGAGCATTGAACGGGCCAATGAATGCAATGAATTGGCAGCGTAAGTTTGCGCAGGTGTGCTTCATTACCAATTAACCCAGCATATAAGCACACGTGGAGCAAGCAGACGTCATCCTTTTTAAGCTGAAGAGACTTGCTAACAGCTAAGGGACAGTCATTATGGCGATGGTAAATAGCATTTCCGTTCCCCTCCTCAGTGAACAAGGGTTACTTCCGTAACCTGAGCGCTCCCTTTCGGTTGGGGAACTCCAATGCTATTAGTGGATTTGATTTAGAAATCCATGAATGGGAGAACTATGGAAAACACTACAATGACTGCACCTTACCAATGCCTCCGATGAGAGGATAGTCAAGCAAGCGTGACACACCCACCTCATCAGAGACGCGGTCCTCCAACGTGTCCCTGGCCCTAACTTATCCCACTTCAAAGGAAGTTTTACGGATTGGCTATATTTTTTGGGAGTCGCTAGCGTCTAGATAATTCTAGCAATTACGACAGTACGTTGGGAATCGTGCAATACCAATAGGGAGGACACTGCGGAGACCATCCGCACCCAATGGGGGAAAGATGACAATTACATATGGACTAACCCTAAGAAGGGGGAGTGTGCATAAGAAGGTGGTTAGCGGATAGGGAAAACATGGGTCCACCCAAGAGGGAGGACTGAACCGTGACGGAATAGGCATATGGGATCACCTAGTGGTCCGAATTCCAGGCACGAGTCACTGACCAAAAATGCCTCCAAGTCCCGACCCTCTAATGGAGGCCAACGCGACCAGCAGAGCTGTCTTCAAGGACAGAATCTTGGATACTGATTCGAGTGGCTCAAAGGGAACGAGGGCGAGATCCCAAGAGGGCATGAGAGGGGGGCGAGTTGGATTAATTCGCCTAGCGCCTCTGAAGAACCGGATGATGAGGTTATGCTTTCCCACGGTGCCGCCAGCTATCGTGTCATGATGAGCGGAGATGGCAGCCACGTAAACCTTGAGAGTAAAGGGCTACAGCCTGCTCTCCAGCTTCTCTTGAAGGAAAGAGAGCACAACACTAATCTGGCAGTTTCGGGGGTCTTCTCTGCGAGAGACACACCATTCAGTGAATAGACTCCACTTCAGGGCGTAGGCGCGCCTCGTGGAGGGGGCTCTAGCCTGAGTGATGGTATCAACCACCGCAGTCGGTAGGTTACCTAAGTCTTCCTCGCATCTAGGGACCATACGTGGAGGTTCCAGAGATCGGGGTGAGGGTGCCAGATTGTGCCCTGTCCCTAAGAGAGTAGGTCCTCTCTCAAAGGGATCCGCCAGGGGAGGGCCGTCACGAGGAGGGAGAGCTCTGATATCCAGGTCCGGTTGGGCCAGAGGGGTGCAACTAGTAAAACCTGCTCCTTGTCCTCACTGACCTTGTATAGTAGCTGCGCAAGCAGGCTCACTGGGGAAAACGCATACTTGCGCATGCCCCGAGGCCAGCTGTGGGCCAGTGCATCCATGCCGAGAGAGCCCTCGGTCAGGGAAAAGAACAATTGGCAATGAGCGTTCTTGGGGGAAGCAAACAGATCAATCTGGGCCTTCCCGAATCGCGTCCATATCGGCTGGACAGACTCGGGTCGGAGTCTCCTTTCTTCAGAGTGTATTTGCTGCTGTGAGAGCACATCGGCTGCATGGTTGAGCATACCTGGAATATGATTGGCGCACAACGACTTCATCCGCGGGTAACTCCAGAGGAGCATACGGCGGGCGAGCTGAGACATGTGGCGAGAGCGTGTACCTCCCATATGGTTGACATATGGTTGAAAAAAACGGTGGAGAGCGAGGAACACTGCCAACAGCTCTAGGTGATTGATATGCCAATGCAGCTGGGCACCCTTTCATAGGCCCGCAGCTTCATGCCCGCAACACACGGCCCCCCAGCCCGTGTTGGAAGCATCTGTTGAAACAACAACATGACTGGACGCCTGTCCCAGAGGCACACCAGCCTGCAGGAACGAGGAGTCGTTCCAAGGGCTGAGGGCGCGGCGACACAGCGCAGTGACAGAGACTCGATGTGTGCCCGCATGCCATGCGTGTACTGGGACTCGATCGCGAAGCCAGTGCTGAAGTGGTCTCTTATGGAGTAATCCGAGCGGCGTGACGGCTGCTGCGGATGCCATGTACCCCAGGAGCCTCTGAAAGTATTTCAGTAGGACGACTATTTTGCTGTTGAGCTCTCGCAGACAGTTCAACAGCAGGCGAGCACACTCTCCGGAGAGGCGCGCTACCATGGTGACCGAGTCCAGCTCCATCCCGAGAAAAGAGATCCTCTGCACAGCGAAGAGTTGCTCTTTTCTCGGTTGACCTGCAACCCCAACAGGTGGAGGTGCCGGAGCACCTTGTCTCTGTGCATAATCAATTGCTCCCGCGAGTGGGCTAAAATCAACCAGTCGTCGAGATAATTGAGTATGCGGATGCCCGCGAGCCGAAAGGGCGCTAAGGGACCCCTAGCTTAGTGAAGACCCATGGAGACAGAGAGAGCCCAAAGGGGAGGACCTTGTATTGCCACCCTCGACCTTCGAACGCAAACCGCAGAAATTGGCGGTGGCATGGAAGAATGGAGACATAAAAGTATGCGTTCTTCAGGTCTATGGCTGCAAACCAATCCAGAGGACGAACGCATCGGAGGATGCGCCTCTGCGTAAGCATTCTGAATGGCAGCTTGTGCAGACAGCGGTTCAGAACACACAGATCTAGGATTTGCCGTGACCCACCGCTCTTTTTGGGTACGATGAAGTACGGGCTGTAAAACCCGCTCTCCATCTCGGCTGGAGGAACTGGCTTGATTGCACCCTTTGCCAGGAGGGCAGCAATCTCCTCTCGCAAGACAGGGGCGGACAGGGGGTTTGAACCTGGTGAAATACATACCCGTGAACTTGGGGGGCCGTTTTGCAAACTGAATCGCATATCCGAGTCTGATTGTGCATATGAGCCACCGCGAGGGGCTGGCCCGTGAAGGCTTTGCCCTCTGGTCCTCTACGTAGCACCCATCTAGTCGGTCCGGCTGCGGAGCTGGGGGATAAACCATCTCCAACCCACGGCCAAAGCAGCCCGGGAAAGCACAGCTTACATGTCCGTTTCAGGATCCGTTTTGACAGCGATCACCTGCCCGGAGGGGGCGAGTGGGTCTGGATCATCATCAGACAATGAAAGCCCACCCTCCGATGCCGCGGTGGACGTCTGGTCTCCGATGTCATAGAGCGTAAGGGCTACCATCTGTTAGACGGATCGCTTCCCCCGCCTGAAGCTTGGATGGAGCGCTTGGAGGAGCGGGAGGTCCGCGGGCCCGTGGGCGACGGATTATCTCTCGCTGAAACCCTCTGATCTGCCCGAGTGCCCGCTGCAGAGCAGGGGACAACTGGGTGGTTTGCCCTTTTGCAAAGGCTAGCCACGATCTTTACTGCGCAACAGTCATGGCATTGCAATGACAACATGAACTGCCCGCGAGCAGCGCATTAACATGCTGGACCCCCCAGGCATGCAATGCAGTGCCCCTGCCCATCATCCGAGGACAGGAAACTACCGCATCCAGAAACGCACAGTCGGACTGCCATCCTGAAAAGGACGTGCTGCATGACTGTGTTGCTCTCTTTGTGAAGTTGCAACTTCATACGCACCGCTCTGGAGGACCGGACCCAAAGAACGCCAGGCAAGGGAGAACCCAGCTTGACCGTCTGCCACTGCGTGTACACACTCTGGACCGGGAGATTGCTCTCGTTCGCTCAAAATCGCTGGATCACAGCAGGAGGAACCCTCATCGACTTGATCAGAAAGTCTCTGAAGCGAAAAGGATGGCGTTTGCTTGCTCCACGTGTGCTTATATGCTGGGTTAATTGGTAATGAAGCACACCTGCGCAAACTTACGCTGCTAATTCATTGGCATTCATTGGCCCGTTCCATACTCTTTCAGACAAGCGGCTTCTGAACCAAATCCTCCCATTCGTGGATTTCTAAATCAAATCCATTAATAGCACTGGAGTTCCCCACCCGAAGGGAAACTTATGATACGAGCTACAGCTTCAGTCAGGCAAAAACACGGAACTTAAACAGAAAGGAGGAGCAGAGAGGGAGCGCATGAAAAAAAGAAAAGCCCTGGCAATAGACGCATAAAAATACAGCAAAATTACAACTAGGTTTGCGACCAAGGGAGCAGATTGGTCAGAATACAGCACATTTACAGTTGAAGTCAGAATTATTTGCACCCCTGAATTATTAGCCCCCTGTTTATTTTTTTAACCTAATTTTTGTTTAACTGAGAGATTTTTACAACACATTTCTAAACATAATAGTTTTAATAATTATTTTTTTAATAACTATTAGTTTGCACTCCTTCGATTTTTTTTTTTCTTTCCTTTTTTTAAATATTTCCCAAATGATGTTGAACAGATTCAGGAAATGTTTACAGTATGTCTGAAAATATTTGTTCTTCTGGAGAAAGGCTTAATTGTTTTATTTCGGCTAGAATAAAAGCAGTTTTTAATATTTTTAATAAAACTTTAAGGACAATAATATTGGCCCTTTAAGCAATATTGTTTTTGATAGTTTACAGAACAAACCATCATTATACAATAACTTGCCTAATTACCCTAACCTGCCTAGTTACCCTAATTAACCTAGTTAAGCCTGTAAATGTCACTTTAAGCTGTATAGAAGTGTCTTGAAGAATATCTAGTCTAATATTATTTACTGTCATCATGACAAAGAGAAAATAAATCAGTTATTAGAGATGAGTTATTAACACTTATGATTAGAAATGTGCTGAAGAAATCTGCTCTCTGTTAAACAGAAATTGGAGAAAAAATAAACAAGGGGGCTAATAATTCTGACTTCAACTGTATATATATATATATATATATATATATATATATATATATATATATATATATATATATATATATATATATATTCTGTGCAGTGCAGTGGATTGTGGGAACAACAAATTACAAATTTGGAAAGTGTGTTACAAAATTGCAAAGTGAGTGTAAAGCAGTGTTTGTGCTTTTACTTTTGCAAACTCAGTAAGTAGTTTTGCTATAATAATTAATCGTTTTATAAATTGTGCTATAAGAACCTCGGTTAGGGTTTAAGCGATCAGAAAAAACTGTAAGATGTCACATTTTAGTTGACAGGTGGGTCTTCATTTTAGCATCAGTGCTGCGCTTGGCTGAATAATGCAGTCACATAGTGCGCATGTGCCAGTAATAATACAGGTACTCACTGGACTGATTAAGGTTCAAGTTTCACTCGAAACAAGAACAGAGGACATAAAATAAACAGAGGGGATAAAATGACACACCAAACAGGTAGGGTTTTTCTTTTGAAAAACTTTTTTTCAGACAATAATAAATGTTTCACTCTTTCATGTTTATATGTTTATCACATGTGGAAATGCTGTAAATGCTCACTGCTGTGACTAGATAACAGGTTTGCATGTTAAATAATAAAAGAACACTGCTATTACATTGAAATATAATGGGTAATTGTACAATAATAAATAACTAAATATATAAATACTTTGTACTTCAAATTATCTGTAACAAAGAAACTGTGATACAGTAAAACACTTTTACATACACATTCCAACATTACCATCAAAACCAAATCATTTTCCAGTCTCTCTGAAAAGTGTATATTGAACGTCTTTAAAAACGACTATGTTGCTCCTGTTTAAAGAAGTGTGTGACACAAATAAAAATAGTAGAAAGATAATATACGAGAGATTCTGTCAACACTGGATGCATTTCGATAGGAAAAATAAAACTTTTTAAATAAATAAACATGTTTAAATCACATGAAATAT